TCTGTTGATGGACGTTTAGATGCTCAACATCACTAATTATTAGAGAAATGCAAATCAAAACTACAATAAGGTATCACCTCACACTGGTCAGAATGGCCATCATTGAAAACTCTACAAACAATAAATGCTGGACAGGGTGTGGAGAAAAGGGAACTGTCTTAACACTGTTAGTGGGAATGTAAATTGATACAGCCACTATGGAAAACAGTATGGAGGTTCCTTAAAAAACTAAAAATAGAACTACCATATGACCCAGCAATCCCACTACTGGGCATATACCCAGAGAAAACCATAATTCAAAAAGATACATGCACCCTAATGTTCATTGCAGCACTATTTACAATAGCCAGGACATGAATGCCAATTAATTTTTGACAATGGAGAGAAGATAGTCTTTTCCAAATGGTGGCACAGAACAACTGGATAACCATATACTAAATAAATAAATAGTTAGATTCCTACCTCATAGCATGAACAAAATGTAACTCAAAATGAATCATAGACATAAACATAAAAATTAAAACTATAGAACATCAAAAAGAAAACATAGAAAAACTTTGTGACCTTAGGTTAGGTAACAAACCTAACCTATTGCTTAGTACAACAACAAAAGCACAAAGCATGAAATAGATTGGACTTCATCAACCAAGAACTTCTGCTGTTGGAAAAATGCTAAGACATGCCAGAAACTGGCAAAAAATATTTGCCAGTCTGATATCTGCAAAAGGAATTCTATATAGAATATAAAAAGAACTGTCAAACCTCAATAACAACTCCATAAAAATGGTAAAATATTCTCACACTCTCTTCACCCAAGAAGATATACAGATGGAAAATAAGCAAATATAAAGATGCTCAACATCAGCAGTCATTAGGGAAATGGAACTTATAACAACAAGATTCTAGAGTACCTGCTTATCGTAATCACTAAAATTAAAAAGACTGACCATATCAAGTGTTGCAAGAACTCTCACACTGGGATGCTAGAAATGTAAAGTGGCACAACCATGTGGAAACAGTATGGCAGCTTCTTAAAAAGTTAAACATAAAACTAACCAGATGATCTAGTCATTACAGTTCTAAGTATTTATCCAAAAGAAATAAAGCAAATATTCATAAAATACATATATACAAATCTTCATAGCAGCATAGCAGCCACAAGCTGAAAATAACACAAGCATCCACCAAAAGGTGAGGGATATGCAAGTTGTGCCATCTACACACAGTAGAATACTGCTCAGCAATGAAGAGGAATTGATTCTTGATCATTGTAACAAGGATGACACTCAATTTAATGTCAACTTAATTATGCTGAGTGAAATTAACTAAACAAAAGGAGTACATAGTGTTAAGAGTCTATTTATATAAAATTTTGTAAAAATGAAAACTTACTCTAGTGATAGAAAGCAGATCAGTAGTAGTCCAGTGATAAGGGTGGTAGGAGAAGGGGCTGGGGGGAGAGAATACAGAGGAACACAGGGAAGATTTGAGGGGGACATATATGTTGATGATCTCGACGATGCTAATTAATGGTTTCATGACTGTATATCTATACGTGAGAACTTTTCAAAGTTATACGCTTTAAACATGCGAGCTTATTATATGCCTATTATACATCAGTAAAGCTGTTAAAAAAAAATTGGCAGCTCTCATTGACCTAAAATAAAGACAGATATTTTTCACAGTATGAGAGGTCCTGCATAATCTTACTCCCTTTCTACCTCTCCAGTCTTACCTTGAGCCACTCTCTGCTCCTGCTTTTTATATGCCATCATAATTGGCCATTTCATTCTTCAAGGTCTTGTGGTCTTTCCCATCTGGGGGCCTTACAAATGTCATTCCCTCTGCTTTCCCACACTTTGCCTAGTTAGTTCTCTTTCATCCTTCAGTTCTCACTGCAATACTTCACTCAGAAAAGATTCATCACCCTAAATAGTTGAGGCTTTCATAGTAAGAACTTTCCCTGGCACTCTCTACTTATTCTTTTTAAAAATTTGTCACAAATTTTATTTAAAATTTTGAGTAAATTTTCAATTAATGTCTACACACACCACAAAAATAGAATAATTTACATATATTATCAAGTTAATACTGTTAAAGAACTAGTTAGATATAATTATGATAGTTTTACATATAAGGAAAGAGACTGAGTAATTTTAAGATCATACAAGTACTCGTCAATGGCAGCGATTTGAACACAACCCTCTCTGACTTTAAAGCACACAGTCTCAATTAGTGATTAATGATTCCGTGATATAATATCCATTATGATAGGGTACTAGAAAAAATCTAATCTGGAAGTCAAAGCATGATCTCTAAATAATACGGCAGCAGGTGCATAGGTGGTACTCCCAGACAAGCACTTGGAAGGGTCTAAAATAGGTTGTACTATCTGACAGGTAAGCCAAACATGGAAATGGAGAGTCCAGAAAATGATCTTGAAATTTGGAGATCAAGATAGGCATCAGGAAGTTAGCAATGAATCCTTGCAAGATAGGGTAAGCACAATGGTATACTAGGTAGATTGTGATATTGGGCAAGTTACCAAGGCAAAGATCCAGTAACTAAGTGCAAGATGAGAACCAAGACACCTCCAGGTCGAGGCAGAAACTTGTGGAGAAATTTAGAGACCAGAAGAGAGTAAATGTGCCTTGATACTAAGTGCTAGAATGCTGGTTTGCATTTCTAAAATTTCTCCCTGTCCACAACGGACCGTCACCTTACCACTCCCTTATTACCCCATTCCAAGTTCAAGGATGTCTCAGAAGAATTAGTCTACAAATCTGAAGATTCCAAATGTAGGAGTCACATGGTAATAACATAGGGCAGAAGACAAAGAAGCTGGAAATTGCAAAGAAATATTAATTCAGTATTCAATTATCTCAGTATTTGTTTGCAATAGCCAGATGTTATAATATAAATTGCATTCATTGTCTATTCTATTTTTTTCTTTTCTAAATTAAAAAAAGAGCTTATCTGATAAGGATTTGAAACTTGAATCAGTAGACAGGCTTTTGGTTAAATGACATTGTCACTTGACAGGTAAAAAACACCATGGTATTCAAAATTCTTCATCCTCCAAGTGGATCAGTGGCCTAAAGTACAGGAGTGTTCATAAACTATCTTTGTAATATATTGCCTCCTGTCAGTGAGAAAGGACTTATCTTAAATTAAGAGCTAAAATACTACCAATATCTAAGATACATTTATTTCTTTAAAGGGGGTGACATTTTTCTAAGATACATTTATTTCTTTAAAGGGGGTGACATTTTAAACCAAACTTCTCACCTGCTAGATTAGAATTTACACCAGTCAGTAAAATGTAGACATTTTCACAATATTAATAATCTGCACAAACTGTAGTAATTTAACTATATTTCAATAAAGTGTGTCATTCTCACAAGAGAAAGCTTATTTGTTTATAAAAAGTATAATCTTTGCTTTCAAATAAATCTTTTTGTAGCATGTGTATCTTTGTGATTGAAATGGAATGAGTACATATATTCCATTTTTATAGAAATAGTGCTATCTAAATAACAAACAGAATTTTTCATTGACCATCTTAAATGGATTATATAACTTCAGAGACCACTGTGTTTTCCAAATGTCTCATTAATATCCCTGCTAGACATAAATTACAGTCAAATCCTCTATTCCTAGTTTGGCTTGATTCTAAATTTGGCTCCCTTCTAAATTTGGCTCCCTTCTCATACATTGTAAATCAAATTTGATCCATATTGAAAATCCATATTGAGAACAGTAAACTGGTCTCTTTATGGATAATAATATGTAAGTATAAATTAATAAGCAATATTCAGCAGCCTAGAATCTAATCCAATTGTTAAAAGTTCAATGCTGCCCATAACCATGAGTTCTGGACTGATTGGCAAAACTGAATACATATTTTAAAATAACATAAAGGATGTTGATAAACTGATTTAGCCATTATTCTTGTATCTTAAATAGTTTAATGTTATCATGTTGCCCTGCAATAAACTATTCTTTTCAGAACTAGGAGGATCCAATTTTAGGATTTTAAGTTCAGTGAGACCTTTAGTTTTCTACCTAAAGTAGCACATACTGTTACTTCCTCTTTCCTAAGTCAGTCTAAATTCTAGTGGCATATCAAATAAAATCACAACAGCCATTTCTGTTATGTCTCGGGTTGCTTCAGTAGGTCGATGCACTGGTGAAATAATAGGTTATACTTCAGGAGCATAAGAAGGAGAAAGGACAAAAATTCTAATTAAGTTTGATATCCTTATATTTCTGGAATGATGAATACACAGGAGAATATGGTAATCCTGAATGTCAACCTCATTTTCACAGAACTTCTAAAAATTTTTAATAATGATTTAATTTCTCACCTTCATATAAGACTCAAGATCCAGTTTTGATAAAGGTCTTGAAAGAGCCCAAATGCAAACTCAGATGTCATGCTTTTATGTTTGAAAAGCGCAGTACGAGCAGCCCAGGTTTCAGGTATCAGGTCTGTCACGCCCTTGCTACACGGGTTGCACTGCAGAGAAACCACCATAAATCATCTCGAGGCTGTATACAATTAATTTTATGTTTGTACTTGTCCTCCTCTATGTTTTTATGATGTTTCTTTTTATATTTGATTTTTGAGGTCATTCTTGGTTTGAGGTGAAATACCTCAAGCTTAATATTAAAATAACACTGGTGATAGTATAAGTTTTAATAATCAAATTCAGGGTCACCTTTTTTTCCACAAGTTTTAAAAGGAACTGTCATAAAGTTGTCAAAAGAAAAATAACCCGTAACTCCCTAACCTTTTTAAATATAAGAAGGTGTTATGTGGGTTTATTGCATAATTTCTTGAAGGGCAAAACATTTCTACTATCACTGCATATTTTCACAGTGATCCTTTACCTTATTTATTATTACTTGGAAGTGGTTTCAGATTTCATGAGAGTTTCTTACCACTTACTTGATTTGCAGTAAAACAGGAAAAAAAAAACCTTTTTAATAATTTTCAGAATAGCTATTCTTCCAGACGGGAGTCTACGGATCTTAAATGCTTCTAAATCAGATGAGGGAGAGTACGTTTGCCAAGGGGAAAATGTCTTTGGTTCTGCTGAAATCATAGCTTCCGTTTCTGTGAAAGGTAAGAAAATGTGGCTAAATGTTTTATAAGCATAGTTTCATGGCCTTATCAGAAAGTGAATAAATATAACGTGCATGTATGTGTATTTGCATATATGTGTGTGCATGTTCCTGTTCAAGAAATATATTGTACACAAAGAACTAACACAGTCAAATTGTCCCTTTCCATTATTTAGGGGACTATGAAGAAAGGAACACCTTGTTGGTAGAAATTTAAATATTATGCTCTGAACACACTATGTGGGAGGGTAAAGAAAGTTTCTGAAGTTTTAGTCTATGTCTCAAAATTTAAAAGTATACCAACAGTATAAAAATATTTTCCTGAATCAAGATTAATTTTAGCATCAATCAGTAATATTCCTTTGTTACCACTTCAACTGGGGATTTGGGGCAAAAAAAAAGAGTAGCAAAAGGAGGACATGAACATGTGGTGTTGAAATATACATCAGATGAACTGACATCAGAGCTACTCTTTGATTTCTGCATCAATGGAATTTTTATACACTGTAACTTTTTAGTATGCTTAAATGTTTCTGTTAGTTTTCTAACAGTTAGTTAGTTTTCTAGTTCTAAAGTGAACTAGATTCCAAGTCTAGAACATTCTTTTGAGACTACCTGTCATTGTTTAGTACTAAGAAAATCTCCTATCTTAGACATTCTCTTCATTTGGTAAAGGAATAGTTTTCACGATGAAGTATATCACTAATTTTTTCCATTTGTGCATGTAGTATATAATGAATCATACTTTGGCCACAAAAAATATAGTAATGTTCATTTTCCCCTTTCTTTAGAAAGAGAAATGTAATTAAAATAGCCAGCACTCTGATATTTTAGAAAAGAGGCAAACATCCAGGGAAGGAAGGAACATAATTTTAAAAATGTCTTCACTTATAGCATACATTACTGGAATCCAAGTCAGTCTTCCAGTCCAGGTCTCATTCCTTGTGTGTGCTAAACAACGTTTTTCATAGTGAGGCAATGCTGGATCCACAGACTTTTTAAATTTAATAATAACAAAAATGTTCTCTGTTAATCACGAGTTAAGTGGAATATTTAGTTACTCAAAACATTCCAATTCTCACAGTTTAAACTGCAGTATGCTGTGATGATCTGTCTTCTCTGATGAAGACAGAATTTAGAATGCCACACAGAATATTTGACTTCCAGAATGTTAATATTTACTGTGGCATTCCTTTCCTGGTATCGCTCTTTCTGAGACTGCTTTGAAGGAGGCTGCATATTAAAGGATCTTATCAGTGGTTAACCATGGTCTTTCATCAGACTATGCTATTGCAAACAGTAGAGCTGAAATAGGAAAATTAGGATAATTTTTCATCTGTGTCAGGCTTCTTGAGGTATCTACAATCAGGAACCTAATTAGGAAAAAAGAAAGTATCAATATCCTGTCTCCATCACCTCCCTACTTTATTAAAAAAAATATCATATTGCAGTTGTTTGATCATTAGCTTAACTAACCCTTAGATGTACAGCTGGTATTAGCCTTTATTGGTTTAAAGTTGCTCTAAACCCAGTAAAAATGTATCTATTTTTTAAAAATTTAACTGAATCATTAAATAGTTAATGTAAACATTTTTTCTCAAAAAACATTTCTATTCAATATTTTGCCTTTTTTTTTAGATCTCAATTAAAGCATCCACTGTCTATCAAAGGGGATATTTTATAATCAGCCAGAGGTGCCTCTTCTACTCCTCTACTTACAAGGTTTTGTAAACTATAAAGTGAATACAAGCTGTTATAGTAGTAGTAGTAGTATAGTTTTTATCTCCTTTAAGATAGTAATTTGAAGGGAGGTGCTCTGTATAACCTTTAAAGTGAACTCACTTGAATTATTCCTCCTTAGATGTGAAGTATTTTTTATTGTAAAAATTATTTTATTTATACTTGATGATCCTTGAAGGTAGACAGGGAGGCTACAGCTTCTTTTTTCTAATGTTCCTCCTTCCAGAGCACCAATTGCTCTTTCTAGTTATGTAGTCTTTCCTCTTTTTCATCCAAGCTGACTTCTTAACAGGAATAGGGACTTTTAAATCATCTGTTCCCTACAAATGCTAATATTTCAATTAATATGGTAATATTTGGTAATATTACCAAATGGTAATATTTCAATTAATAATAGTTTATTAAAAGATATGTATCTGGAGCAACTATATTACATAGATTCCTTGTTTAATTTTTCTCTATTATTTAAAATGCAGAATGAAGGTGAAAACTATACGTTATGCTAATTAACATATTTTTATTTCTATAGAACCTACAAGAATAGAACTTACTCCTAAAAGAACAGAGTTAACAGTGGGAGAAAGCGTTGTCCTTAACTGCAAAGCAATTCACGATGCTAGTTTGGATGTCACTTTCTACTGGACACTGAAAGGACAGCCTATCGATTTCGAGAAAGAAGGTGGACATTTTGAAAGCATCAGGGCCGTAAGTTAATAAAATTTTATTCTTTGAGTAATAATACTTTTAGAAATTTAGACTCAAATGTAAAAACCTTCTTCTCTGTGAAATGTTAAGGAAAAATTAGGACAAAATTCAAATTGATTCAAACAATTATTTTATTTCATTATTTTATGTTATGTCAAACTAAAAATAATACTTATTTAAAACTCTCCCAGTAAGAAATTGGGAATACTTGATTATGCAGATCTGGTTTCTTTGCCATTTTTTTCTATTTGATTAGTATTGTCAATATTTACACCTTACTTCTCAAAAGTTATGTGGCTACATAAACATAAAAGTGTTATTTAAAGCATTCTTAGCAATTATGATACAATAAATAAATGAAATAAGCCTGCCTGTCCTACTCCTGAAGAAATAGTAATTCTTGGAGATTCTTTAATCTGTCACAGGCTATAGAGCTTAAACATGCAACCCAAAGTCAGAAATGCAGATTAGCCTTAGACAAACATTCACAGACATGCTCATTTCTCATCTGCCAAATCTTTCCTTGTATTATCTTTTATATATCTATGTGACAATCAACTAAATGGAGTAAGAAATCTTTTGAACCAAATTCTACAGTATGATCATAGTGTCTTAACAGAGAAGTAGAAAAATGATCTTTTCCCCCACAGGCTTTTTTGAAACATAAAAGAGTAACATAATGATGGAGAGAGACAAGGGCAATGGAACTCGGGTGGCAGAGAGAGATTTTGGCTGAAATATCTCTTCTATATTGGTTAAAGAGGTGGATCCAAATACAAACTATGCCTAAAATACAATTTAAAATGCTGCCACATACGTATTAACATCAGTTTATTCTTCTGTAAACATTATGGGAAGCACTGGTAGACCACAGCTGTAATGAGCCCAAACATATAAAACTTGGCTTGGATTGAATTTTATTTTAAAGGTAATGTGATACAGTGGGAAAAGTCCTAGACCCAAAGTAAGGAATTTTCTGGGTCAAGACCCAGCTCAGTCTTTAATCAGCTGTGTAACAAAAAGCCAGTCACTTGATTTGCCTTGGCATTAATCACATAGAGCACTAAAGTGAGGGAGTTGGACCAGATAATTTCTAAGACCCCTTCTTACTCTAGAATTTGATAAATTTGTATTAGCAGAATAGTAAGAATGAATTTTCTTTGTTGCATTTGCCAATGTAACTTAAAGTAAACATTTTCTTCTAAATTATTCCTTTCATCCTGATTTACTTTGCAGTTAATGAGAGACTGTATAAATAAGAAAAAATTACCCAACTGCATTATTCACATCTCATTAAATAAATCAATTTTGTCAATGGTTATGTCATGTACAAAATATTTAGATCGTGTTAAACTCATTTTCCTCGAATTTGCGACTTTTCTTTTTTATTTACCTTGGGTCGATCATAGCTTCAAATTTTGAACAACTTTTATGCTATGAATGTCATAAAACAAAACCAGAAAAATATGACACAAAAATATTACATTTGAAAACAAAAAAATATACCATCAAAAATATTTCTTCTTAGGATTACCTGTAAACATTCATTTTGATTGATCAGAAATATAAAGAAAAAATATGTCTAAATTTTGTTTTTTCTTCATAGAAGCAGGCTTCCTCTTTATTTTAAAATATCAGTAGAGAAATTAATGGTCTGATAAATTATATGAATTCTTGTTTTTGTCTCTTATATGTTACCACTTTAGTTTCAGGTCCATTCATTTGTATAAATAAATACCTTTAATCCTTTTCATAAGGTTGGCAGTCAATAATACCTGCTGTATCTCTCTTTACACATATGCTGTTCCTGCCCTTGAGAATTACAAAATTGACTCGTTACTCCATGCAAACCTATATTGCTACAAGCCATAATAAATTGAGCTCAGTTTGTAGACAGTGGTAATAAACTCCAGAATAGAAAAATAAAGCAAATTAATATATTGAGAAGTGAGAAAAATATTTAGCTTAAGGTTATGTAGAATATATCACTTTAGCTTATTTTAAAAAATTAATAGAAATATGTTTGTACTTAAAATATTTGGAAGCTTCAGAACTGCAAAGTTAGAAGAAATTGTCTATTCCCTCTACCCCAATTACCTCAAACACTGATTGGGTCCTTGTGGGCTTCAAGGACATACATGGGAGAGAATCCCATTCTGTGACTTGAAAAAGTCAGAGAAAAAAAAGAAAAACATTCTATTCCCATCCTGCCTTTCACCTTGTGAAATATAATATGTCTGAGAAATAACATGTTTTAGAAGAAGGGATGAAAGTGTTATAAGGAAGTGAGATTTGGGAAGGCCTCTGGTCATGTGGATACTTTCTGTTTGAGAGGCCAATTGAAGACTCTGGGAATAAGAGGGCAGGCCAGGGCTCAGAAGAGAGCCTAGTGGGGTGATCTATGGTTTGCTTTGAGTTTCAAAGGAGAGCCATTGACGAGACCTTAGGGATATAGGCTGGTCCAACAGAGTAAGAAAGCCCAGCAGGATTCGGGACTTAAGCAGGAATAGAGTGTGCCTTTGACTGAAGTACTCTTTAGGTTAACTGACCTGGCCCTAACCCACCAGTGTGTGATTGAATGGGGGTGAATCAGAGGAGAAAGGGGGGTATATATTTCAAGTATATTAACACTGCATAGAGTCAAATGAATCAACCAAATCTCTGAAAAAAAAACCCAAAAAGATACCAATTGTGTTGATACTTTCCATCTTGTAGTGCCAAAATATAGCTTAATGAAGTTCTCCACCTTTCAACTTGTTATAGTGATATCTTTTATACACAGCCATTGGTTTACAGATGAAGCTCTAGGAAAAATTTTATGTTTAACTTTTACAACACCTATAGACAAGGTATATTTATGTTTTAAATAAAAGAGTGCTTTTGGACTGCAAGAGAGTGAATAAATAAACATATAATCACATCAGGTTAAAAGAATAATAGCTATTGCTTTGAAATCTATAATGAAAATGCTTCTATTTCCCTTGCCTCTTGACTTAGGCCATGTTTTACAAACCCAGAAATTTGACTGATTTTTGGAGTGAATCCATTATTGAAGCCACTGTTCAAAGGGTCCAAACAATCAATTAGTCTGTAAACATTTGATCCAATTCACCCAAATCCCTTTTTTGGCAATGATATGAGTTAACTGAAGGTGGCAAATTAGTGAGGCTATTCTCAAGATTTAATTTAGATTCAATTGTACAAGCAAAGTGCTGTGCAGGATCCAAGTTAAAATACATGGCCTTTCACCCCTAAGAGAGCACAAATTAAGGAGACAGACAGCAGGGTGGGCTAGTAATCTGCTATTACAGTGTTATCACTAGAGAACTCTACATACAGCTGGCAGAAGAATTTGGTATTTGAACTGGACCTGGACTGGTAGAATTTTGCCAGGTGTTAGGAGGAGAAGCTGCATTTCAGACAGAGACAGCAGGTGAGGCAAAGACGAGGCAGAGAGTTTAGAGCACGTCTCGGGAACAGTGAGGAACATGTAGCCCTGATGGCATAGTGACGACACAGAGTAGAGAATAAGTCACTATTTGTTGAATACATTTAAAGGAGAGCAGCAGAGGCCTCATTGTTAAAGGCACTGATTTCGGAGTCATGGAATTTGGGTTTTATTTGGAATGCAACAGGGAGCCATGTGACTCAGATTTGTTCTTTAAGAAGATAATTCTGACAGCTGTGTGGAGCAGGGGTTGAACATGAGGCAGACTTTACTTTCATTCCAGGCAGGTTAAGCAGAGGTTACAATGAGGAATCGACCATTATAAGCTTCAGCCTTAAATAACCACCCTGTTATCAAATAATTATTTGCAATCGTGCTTTGACACAATTGTGTTTTGACACAGTTTTTTATGTTGGTCAGAGGTCTTTGAGAACCTCTTAATACTCTCAGGATGTCTGAACAGCACCTGAACATGGCCATGTGACTCCAAAGCCACAGTCTTAATGGAGGACTATGGTGATCCATTGTTCTCCAGAGACTTGAAATCCCTAATTATTCATTGAAGATGTAAGCTAGTTGTAATCCCTACAACGCATAAAGATCAGTTACACTGAATATCATGGAAGCCTGTAATTTGTTCCTTTTGGAGCAGAGAAAAAAGCCAAATATTTGTAATCAGGAAGGTTGGCAAAAGAAGAACTGCCCTTTCCATTGTGAGCTCTCCAAATGTGATAAATTGCAACTAAATGGGCAACCAAATCAAAGTGCACTATTTCATGGTCCTTCATATTCACTCAATCCTCTGGTTATAACAATACACTCAGGAAAGCAGAGTAGGGATGTTTGAGTCCATTTTTAAATGAGGAAACAGAAGCATAAGACTTTTCCAGGCCACATGAATTCTAAATTGGGGTAAAAATATTAAATACACTGTGATTTTTAAACTACGTTATGTTGATTCTCCTTTGTAAAGCTCACCCTCTCCACATTCATTGACCATTATGTGTTCAACCCTTGCCTATAAACTGTGGGAAATAAAAATAAAAGGGAGATTTGGTTCTGATCTTCAGTAAATGTAAAGATGGCATAGAACATAAAGTAATTCAAGAAAAATATGACCATAAAAAATTACTAATTTTTTGTTAGAACCAAATACTGTTGGAGACCAGAAAAGAGATTAATGTGAATTTTTTTTATCATTGTGGAGAAAAGTGAGGAAAGGAATTAATTTAGCACCTGCTATATGCCAAGCACTAAGCTTTTATATATATATATATATATATATATATATATATATATATATATATAT